CCCCCAGTCCCTCCCCCAGTCCCTCCGCCAGCCCCTCCGCCAGTCCCTCCGCCGCGGAGCGGGCGGTGCCGCGCCCACACCCAACCGCCCGCCCCGCAGGCGCTGCTCCGCGACAAGGCCTCCGTCGTGGCAGACCCGGAGCAGGCGCGAGGCCGGCCTCGGCCCAGCGCCCGCCCGCTGCTCGCCCAGGCCGGCAGCTGCCTCGCCCGCAGGCGGCCCTCTTCTTCGTGCCGGTGATGCCGATGCAGATGGCGGGCAACTTGTGGCACCCATACGAGTTCCTCGCGCAGACCGCGCGCCACCTCGCGAGCGAGTATCCCTTCTGGCGCCGCTCCGGCGGGCGAGCGACCAGCCCTTCCTCGCACGCCGAGTGAGGAGGGGATCAACAACTCACGGCATGTCAATCCATTGGTAGTCGCGACCACATCTTCTTCCTCACGACGGACCGCGCCGGCTGCTGGAAGCCATTCGAGCTCAACCAGTCCATTGTGCTCACCTACCTCGGCTTCTCTGCGCCGGAGGCCAACTCTGGCTGCGAGGAGCGGCTGGCTAACCCTCGCCCCGACCCTGGCCCTGACCCTGACCCCTAGGCCAACTTTGGCTTCGAGGAGCGGCTGCGCTGGGGCGCAAACCCGTCGGGGCCGGAGCGGCGCAACAACGCGTACGACACGCGCGAGGGGTCGGTCGCCACCACGCTGCCCTGCTACGTGCCTGGCCAGGACATCGTCGCTAGCCCCACCCCTGAGCCATAGCCCATACCCAAAACCCTAACCCGAACCCTAACCCTGACCCTGACCCTGACCCTGACCCTGACCCTGACCCTGACCCTGACCCTGACCCTGACCCTGCTACTTGCCTGGCCAGGACGTCGTCGTGCCCGTCGACACCGAGGTGAAGGCCGCCGACCAGGCAAAGTCGCCGCGGCCGGGCGCTCCGTACCAGTGCGCGGGCCGGGCGGGCAAGCTGAAGCTGCTGCACATGGGCGGCTCGATGCAGAACATGGGGCGGATCGAGTACTCGCAGGGCGTGCGGCAGCGCATCGCCGAGCTGCACAGCGACGAGCCAGACTTCGTGCTCGGCGGCACCTTCACGCTGGACGACCTGCGCGCCGCCACCTTTTGCCTCGCGCCGTCGGGCTGGGGCTGGGGCTGGCGCATCACGCTCACCCTGCTGACGCAGTGTGTGCCCGTCATCATCCAGCCGAACGTGACGCAGCCGTTCGAGGAGCTGCTGCCGTACGAGGACTTCTCGCTGCGCCTCACCAAGGAGGACATCCCGGCGCTCCCCAAGCTGCTGCGCGCCGTGCCGGACGCGACCATCTGCCGGATGCAGACCAGCCTCGCCAAGCACTACCGCGCGCTGCTCTGGCAGAAGCCGCACGGGCCGCAGCACCCGAGCGCCTACGACCTGACGATGATCGCGCTCTGCCGGCGAGAGCTTCGCCCCACCACCCCGCCGCTTCCGGCCTCCTGGCACCTCACACCCCCTCCCCTCCTCGCACGCAGGCGGGCCAAGAGCTTGGCAGTCAGGCTGTCCAGATCCCCCGATACGGCGCGCGCATACCTGGCACGTCACACGCCAGAATGCGCCGATACGCTCGAGGCGGCGGGCGTCGCGTTCACCTGACAGCAGCTGTGATTTGTATAATAATATGTGCGGCAGACAAGGCAGACTCTATACTTTTACAACTTTTGGAATATCTTTTCTTCGTGCGGAGAGAGAGAGAGAGAGAGCAGGTGTGCTTCTTAGCCCCCCCGGCCCTGGCGGATGTGCGGTTGATGACTGCACTCCAAAGTCCATTTGTCCCATCTCCAACGCGTCCAAGTGTGTCCGCTCCAAGTGCAGAGAGGACAGAAGAGCCTTTTCCCGCCCTCCTAGACCTCTCTCGGTTGCCTCTATTCCCGCCCTCCCACTCCTCTCTTGCATTATTTTTCTTGGTGTCGCGCGGCGGCGGGTGTGGTGTTTCTGCTTTCTCTATGAAACACATAGTCTATGTCTCTCTTCACTCTCTCCTTGACCGCGACAGGACTTGAGTCTTGTCGATGTCCGTTCACCGTTGTCCCCCGACTTTGAAGTTAGATTGAAAACAAATGGGCCCTACGCGCGAGATTGATTCTGAGACCCAACCCCTGGATAGTGGACAGCGGGCCCAGCCCCCAGCGCCCGGCGGGCCGGGAGGCGCAGCATGTGCATGTCAGCCATCGCGCCCATCGGGCCCATGCCGCATGCGATCGGCATGCAGCGCCCAGAGGCGCGGAGAGCGCGGTCGCTCTCTCACACATTCGCCCTCGCTCCCTCCCTCCTCCCTCTCCCCTCTCTCTCAGGCGCCTGGGGGACGTCGCCCTCCGACCGGCATCGACCTTCTCCCTGAGATGTGAGAACCTCAGAGACAAAGCGATCGCGGCTCAGCTGGTCTTCTTCTTCTCGTCCGAACCCATGCCCAACATGCACCACCCAGCCACCAGACACACACCTCCAAGAGGAGTGACAGGCCTGTCAGTCAGCGGAAACAGCTGAGGAGAGTGATCAGGAGAGTCTATTGTTACTCCAGAGGATGCAGACCCCAAGAGCCTCGGGGCGCCGAGCGCGAGGGAGTAGATGCTGCCTGAGCATGAAAGGAGGGAGGGTTGGACGTCGCCACCCTCGCTCTACCGACCAGACCGATCGATTGATTGCCCGAGAAGAGGACGGAGCCGCCGGTCCACAGACAGGCCACGAGGTAGTACGGTGTGCCTCCCGCGCTGCCTTGCATTCGAGAGCTCACCGCAAGCAAGGCGACCGCGTGCAAAAGCTGATAGACGCACGCAGTCCGCCATGACTGCAAAGCACCTCGAGCCTCCAGTGAGCCATGTAGAGCATGGGCGCCTGATTCGAAATCACCAAACCTGCACGGGGGCCACTCTCTCTATATGCCGCCACACGGCCACACGGACGGCACACCTAACGCCCCTGCAGCGATGGCGCTCGCTCCCAGCGCAGCAGCGCAGCGCCGAACCGTGGTGGCTGCCGCGGCTTCGGCGGCAGCCACGCCCGCAGGATTCCGACTGCTCGCCTGTTGCACAATAGGCGGCACTGCGGGCAACATGGATCGAGGCCCAGCGCCTTGGCCGTGAGTTGCGGTCTCACCGATGTGGAATAGCGCCGCACTGCGTCGCGTATGCGGTTGGGAATGAAATCGACGTACGCGCCGACCGCAGTGCCGTCGTCGCGGAACGCATACGGTGGCGGCGATGCCGAGCCTCCGTCGACAACGGGCATTGTATTGCTCACGGGATGGACGTCCATCCCAACTTGTTTTCTTCTTTAAACCTTGAAAACAGGCGGATCCAGTGCCTAGCTCGCCGCCCAGGCACGAACCGGCCAGGGCCGGTGTGACGACGCAGAGCCGAGTGCCCCTTCACGGCGGGCCGTCTTCGCACCCACCTCGCGAGCCGACATACTGGATTTTGCAAAAGCGAGGGGGGGAGGGGGGGCATGCGGCAGTCAGTTATGAAAATTAAATCCCCAAAATTCTTTTTGCTAGAACGGCGGTGATCATGCTGTGTGGAGTCTCGCCTCGCCTGCCTCGCACGATCCTCCTCCTCCTCCTCCTCCTGCACGGATCGCCCGCTGCGGCCCTCTTCGTCGGACCCCGCGTGCCCGGCGCGCCGCTGCGGGCGGCGCCCCCAGTGTTTGCTCCGCTGACGCTGCTGCGCTCCACGCCCGCTGCCGCCGCCGCAGCGCTTGTCGCGGGCACCGCCTCGTCCGCGTCCGCGGCGGCGGAGAGCGGTGCGATCGCGAATCAGTTGGACGACAGGCTTGTCGTCGGCTTCGTGCTAGTGCGCGCCCCTGCCCACACCTTCACAGCCGCGCGTTCCTTTTATGCGCTTGCTCCCACCGTCTCTCCTTCCCCATTCCGCGCGTTCCTCTCACATCTCTGCGCCGCCGCCGCCCCCAGGTTCTTCTCGTCGCCACGGCCGCGCTCCAGTTCTCCCTCGGGGATGTGGCTGCGGACGAGGCCAACTTGCCCTCCTCGAGCGCCCGCATCAACGACCTGCGGCAGAAGCGGTCAAACTTCCTGCGCGGCCCTCCGCAGTGAGAGGGAGCCTTGGGCATGCTGGCGTTGCGTCTCGTGATGTGCGCGCGGGTGGAATGGCTGCCGCTGGGACCACCGACCGCGGTTCCTGGTCTTCGTTTTAGATGGCCCCTCCGTGTGAGCATCTTCCACCCTGCGCAAAACCAAAGGTGTAGAGGAAAGGGGAGAAGAGGTAGGCGCAGATAAAAAGAAATTGCCCCGCCACGTGCTAGTGTGCGGGCGAGGTGTGCAGCTGCATTTGCGCGCGCCCGACCCGCAGCAGCTGGAGGCCCTCACCGCGAGTGCTTGTCGCGATGGCCGACGCCGAGGCCGACAAGCGCGCAGAGGCCGAGATTGAAATCTGGAAGGTCAAGAAGCTCGTCAAGAACCTCGAGGCGGCACGCGGGTGCGCAGCGCCGACGCCCTGCCGCGATAGCCTGGGCGGGATGCACTGCGCCGCGTGGCGAGGAGGAGACCGGGCGGCCACGGATCAGCTCCGCCCTCACCGGGCCTCGCTCGCAGGAACGGCACGTCGATGATCTCGCTGATTCTGCCGCCGGGCAGCCAGATCTCTCAGGCGTCCAAGATGCTTGCCGAGGAGTACGGCACGGCGTCCAACATCAAGTCGCGCGTGAATCGCCTCTCCGTCCTCTCGGCCATCACCTCGACCCAGCAGCGGCTCAAGCTCTTCTCCAAGGTTCCTCCGAACGGTCTCGTCATCTACTGCGGCACGATCCTGACCGACGAAAACAAGGAGCGGAAGGTCAACATCGACTTCGAGCCCTTCAAGCCGATCAACACGTCCCTGTACCTGTGCGACAACAAGTTCCACACCGAGGCGCTGCAGGAGCTCCTCATGTCGGACGACAAGTTCGGGTTCATCATCATGGACGGTCCGGCCCCGACACCGCTCCCTCCGCCTGACACACGGCCTCACACACAACCTCACACACCACCGCCGCAACGCCGCCCCGCGACGGCGCCGCCCCGCCCGCCGCCCTTGACCGCTCCTCGTCCGGTGCCCGAGCGGGCGGACGCCGCCGCCAGCCCACCCCCTCGCCCCTCTGCCGGCAGGTAACGGCTGCTTGTACGGCACTCTGGCGGGCAACCACCGAGAGGTGATCCACAAGTTCTCGGTCGACCTGCCGAAGAAGCACGGCCGCGGCGGCCAGTCGGCGCTGCGCTTCGCGCGGCTGCGGCTCGAGAAGCGTCAAAACTACGTGACCAAGTGCGCCGAGATGGCGACGCAGATGTTCATCACCAACGACAAGTGCAACGTGTCTGGGCTGGTGCTGGCCGGCTCGGCAGACTTCAAGGTGGTGCTCTCCGAGTCGGACAAGTTCGACCAGCGGCTCGCGGCAAAGGCAGCCCGCGCCCTCCCCACCCTCCCCACCCTCCCCTACCTCCCCACCCTCCCCGCCCTCACCACCACTCCCAA